AAATAGCTGACTCCCTCGTTGCCTCTTCCACCTTTTGAACAATGAACATGCAGGTTCACAGTTTGGGCTTACTCCTGGACTCAGCCCTGAATCTGAAAGCCCAGGTTTCAGCAGTGACAGGAGTGTGTGTAAGCAGTTATAACTAGTGTGCCAACTGTGCTCATTCTGGAGAAGCGGGATCTTACCATGGCAACACATATCTTTTTTTGCATCCTGTTTGGAGTAATGTAACATGCTTTATGTTTGGCTACCATGGAAAAATGTTCTGAAAGTTCATTTAGTCCAGAGAGTCACAGCCAGATTGTTAACTGGGGCTGGTTATCAGGACTACACAGCTGCCTTCCTCTCATAGCTCTACTGGCTTGCAGTCCATTTCTGGGAACAACTCAAAGTTTTGGTTATGACTTATAAGGCTCAGTCCCGTTATATCTGAAAGATCATATTTCCCTATGTGAGTCTCTTAGACAGGGGTAGGCAACCTTTCCCCTTTAAGGGCCGAGGGACTTCAGCTCCCATAAGCCTCAGCCATGTTGGCCAATAGTCCCATGATGGCCAATAGCTCCTGGGATTCTGGGAGCTGAAGTCCCTCGGCCCTTAAAGAGGAAAGGTTGCCTACCCCTGCTCTTAGATCTTGAGGGTAGGCCCTTCTTTCAGTCCCACACCTTCCACGTGATTGGAGGATACAAGGAAAAGGCCCCATGGCTGCTCCCAGATTTTGGAACTCCCTCTCTAGGAGGCTAAGATGTGTCCCTCTTTGCTCTTCTCCTGCTCCCAAGTGAAACTTTTCCTATTCTGGAATTTACTGTAATGGGTTTAATGTTTAGTCATTCTGTAGTATGCATGCATGCAGGCGTGCATGTGTATACATCTTCAAGCCACCTGTCAACATATGGCAACCCCATGAATGTTATGGGGTTTTCTTAAGGAAGGAATATTCAGAGGGTTTCTTATCAGTTTCTTCACCAGAAATATATAGTCTATACCACCTGGTATTCATTGGCAATCTATCATCCATGTACTAACCAGGGCTGATCCTGCTTAACACACACACACACACACACACACACACACACACACATATGAGGGAGAGTATTTTTTTAAAAATGTTAAATTGTTTAATTCTATTAACTGATTAATTATTATTTAAAATAAATTTCATATAATTATATACTTTTACTGATTTTTAAATGTTTTCAGTCTCTTCTGTTTTTAATATTGTACAAGCTACTCTGAGTCCTAATATCAGGAAAGATGGCATATAAATTAATATAGCTACAACAACCACCAAACAACCCAAATATAGTATAAAGATGGAGGATATTGGGATAATTCAATGGGTTGGAAAGAAGGGGGAACAAAGTCCTGCAGCAAGTCCTGTTTTAAGATATGTCTGAATTCACAAGATGGGGTGGGGTGAGGAATAAGATGGTTGAAATGTGAAAGGGGAAACATTATATTCTCTGTGACTGAATATTACTTACTTGAGACCAAGTAAATTTTTAGCTTTAAGAAAAGCAAAAGCAAAATCATGGGAGAAGAATGTGGAGATAAATTCCCATATATATCTTTTAAGATATGCATTGGAAAAGATTTCAGAGACTTGAAATCAAAGAAGTTGTGCCCCTTTGTATTGTGGTCAAGGGATAAGGCTTTCTAAATTGTTATCAGAGGCTACAAGAAATATTTCCTGTGGACTGTGTAAATAAGGAAAAGATATTAGCTTTGAAAGAAAAAGAAAAAGAAAAAAACTCAAGATGGTTGCTCAAAGGCATTGTTTCCTAAAACAGATGTCTGTTCTATTGTGAAAACTTTTCAGCAGGCTGCCTTTTCTATTCAAGTTTTAAATATAAAATGCTGAAGGAAGTTGACAGCAGATTGTATAGCAGTCTGTTTTAGGAATGTAATGTGTGAACGGGCAATTCACAAATCTCAGACCCATGACACTTTTGAGGCCCCTGAAGTGTCAAGCACGCCTTTGTGTTCTTGAGGAGGCTAGTGATACACAAGAGAATGTGCAAGATCAATGTGGAATTCTTACAACAAAAATCAAGAAGCATGAAACAACAGATTTCAAAATGTTTCTGGTTCTGTTTTCATTATCATAAAGTTTGTGTTTAAAAAGTTTATGGAGTTTATCACACAGAAGGCAAAGTCTCCAAATCCCGTGGATAAACGGTGTTTAAATCCTGAGAATATCCTGCAAGAGCACGATTGTTTTCAGACACATTGGGCTAATTGAACATTAATGCAACTTTAACCCATGCAGAAAGTGGTCAAAATCATACCGCTTTGTACTCTTGGAATTTTCCCAAAAGTAAAAAGTGGCATGATTTTGCGACTTTCTGCATGGTTTAATGTCACATTAATGTTCGATTTGCCTGATGTGTCTGAAAACAATCCTGCTCTTGCAGGATATTCTCAGGATTTAAACCCCATTTATCCACAGGATTTGGGTGTCCCCCCCCCTGTGATAAACTCCTTTGAGAAAGATATTTTAGATCAGCATCCTTCTATCTGACCTTCCATATCTGTTAGTTGACAAGTCTTATCATCTCCAACCAACAAAGCCATTGACACTGCTGCTGGAGAATCATAGGGGTTGCATTCCAATCCATGTAGAGGTCAGCAGATTAGGGGTGGTCTAAAAAAATCCCAAAGCCTTGGTATCGCTGTAAGTTGATAGGTGACTTGAAATTGCAAAGATACACACATACACACACACTGATAGATATACTACATTCAATGGGATATTCTATATAAAGGAACAACTATGCAGTGTGGCACAGTGGTCTGAGTGTTGGACTATGCCTCTGGACACCAGGGTTCAATTCCCAGCTCAGCCATATAACCTAGTGGGTGACCTTGGACATGTCACATGGTCTCAGCCTCAGGGGAAGGCAGTGGCCAATCTCCTCTGAACAAACCTTGCCAAGAAAACCGCATTATAGGTTTGCTATAGGGTAGCCATAAGTTGGAAATGAAGTGAAGGTACACCACCACCACCACCACCACATGCATATATATTTCAGTATGTAGATCCCATTAACATTGGGATCCATGTGAATTGTAGGAGTATCTTCTAGGTGATTTATAGTTATTGATATTCAATACATAATATATTTACCTACAATTGTATCCATTCATCCCATGCTAGATTGAGTTTAATGACTCCTGATTCAGGAAACTCTCGTTTAGTTCTCACACGAGCTATGAGAAGACTGGAAGGCTTTAGCTATCATATCTCAGCCACCACAAAAAACACTGTAGTATTGTGGTGATAGTGGTGGTCTATTTTTTTGGCTTAAGAAGTCTACTTTAGGTGAGAAAAATGGAAGTTCTATCATCAAGCACTGCTCTAATGTCAAGCTTCAAATGGGGAAACTATTTAAAAATATAAATATAAATTAAATAAAACAAAAAACAAACAAATTGAAATTTTTGAATGTAACAAAGTTACATATAAATTAATCACTATTTTTATAGTTTTTT